TCCCTCTGACTTATTTCACTTTGCATAATACCCTCAATGTCCATCCATGTTGTCACAAATGGCTGGATTTCATCGTTTCTTATGGCTGAGTAGTATTCCACTGTGTATATATACCACATCTTCTTTATCCATTTGTCCCTCTAGTGTGTATTCTTAAGACGAGGGAAAAAGTAATAAGTGCTTAGTATTTCTGGAAGATGAATCACAGCAGGATTAACTGAGACAGGGAGAAAGAGGAAGCTTGAGAAACCAATTAGATTACGACAGTAAACTGAGAATGAGAGAACAAGTCCAGACTAGAGTAGCGGGGGCTATGAGTATGGAAAAGGATGAACAAATATAAGGAATATACTGCAGATGGGCAGGGCTTGGAACAAGGAACGAAAGAGGGAGGACTAAAAACTAACTTTAAACCTGGATGGATTAACGTCTGTGGCATTGACAGAAATGAAGGAGTTGGAACGAGAGCCTGGATGGTTTAGGAGGGGATGGATTTGAGGTATTTGTGGAATATCTAAATGCAGTTACCCTGTAAGCACTCATGCCTACAAAATTGGATCTTTGATGAGATACTCAGGCAGGATGTCTGTTTCATAAAAAGCAGAAAAGATGATAATTAAAGCTAGGAGAGAGGGTAAAAGAGAAACAGAGGCCAGGGGAGTGAGCTTACTGGAAGATGACAGTAATTAAAGCAAGAGAGGGAGAGAGTATGTAGGGTAACTTGATGAATACTTTCAATGTAGTGATGATATGCGAGCTCTGGCCCCACAAAGGTGTGGGTGAGATCATAGACCCTTAACTCACCTGACTGTTGAGTCTCCATGAGCCCTAAGAGCTGTGGCTGGAAGCTGAGCCGTGGATGCCACTCTGTTCCTTTGTTTGTGGTCCATGGAACAGGAGGGGACAACAGGACACATGAAGAAGCCTGGGGTGTTCCTCCAAGTCCCTGTTTTTCTATTGTATTGCTTAACTACCACTATTCTGAGAGCTGGAGGTGTAAAGTTATTAGATATGAGGTTAAGAGAGGCCATAATGACTGACTGGCTTAAAATATTTCAATGTGTCATGTATTCTTTGTTATGACGCATCTGCTGTATCTATTATCCATTAGTCTGCAGAGTGTGGTTGGTCATCTTACTAGGGAAGAGCCACATGTGAATCAAGTGACAGTTTAGTTTTCCTTTGGGGTTAGTTTTGCCCTGTTGCAGACCAAACGTGGGCCCCTGAGCCAAGGCATTTGTTTAAAATGTCTGAAGGGACCTTTTGCTTTGGGCGTCCGGGAAATGGGTGTGGGTGTGTGCATGGGTCGGCACTGCTGGGAATGCTCAAGGACTTGCTGTAGTAGTAGCACAGCAATAGTTCATATATATTTTTTTAATTTCACACAGTTTCACAGGTTTTTGTCTAATGTCCTGTGATATTCATTGCCTTTCTAAGAGTAAAGTTAAATAAAAATAGTAATATGTGGAAACTAAAAATAATTTCTACTTTCAATTCTCTCTTCTTTTTTCTTTTTAATACAACCATTCAGGAAATACCTTCACTGGATCTAGAGAAAACCAGACTTGAGCCTAGTCAGCCCCAGCTCTCTCCAGGCATTTCCACTATTCATCTGCATCCACAGTTTCCAGGTAGTCTGTGTTGATCTGTGCGATTTGTTAAGACTGTTCTGAATAAAAGAGTAAGATAAGTATTTTTTGTGTCTTTGATTTTAAAGTTTAATAAATCACTAGAATTCATAAGTGAAAATACACTTATGTATATTAATATACTCAAAATGCTAGTACAAGTACAGTATTATAAGTATTATAATGGTAAAAGAAAGATAAATTTTTCACTATTTTCTGTGGTTAGGGGTAACCTATATTATTAGAACATTATTGAGGGTCATCATTTGATGAAGGGTCATTTTTCTTGGCTTCTGAGTTGCTCTCAGATATTCTTGCTAAATGTTGAAATTGAGGCTATAGGTTAAAACCATGAACTTTAGGGACCTATAACAGTTCTTAATATCCAAGAACTACTGTGGTATGTTATTAGACTAAATTATGCTTGCATTTTGAAATGGGATCTCAGTGCACACAACAGACTTTAATTTTCTATCCCCTCCTTCCTTGTGTAGTAGTGATTGAAAAAACATCACCTCCTGTGCCTGTGGAAGTAGCTCCTGAAGCTTCTACATCAAGTGCCAGCCAAGTGATTGCACCTACTCAAGTAACAGGTGGGTGTGGTATTTGTTATATACCCTGTGGAGGAGAAATGGGTATGAACTTCATTTTAGATGTAGTATCAAAATTGTGTCAAATGTAGGGGCCAGCTCTGTGGCCTAGCGGTTAGGTTCAGCGCGTTCGCTCTGCTTTGGTGGCCTGGGTTTGGATCTTGGGCTCGGACCTACACCACTCGTTAGCCATGCTGTGGTGGTGACCCACATGTAAAGTAGAGGAGGATTGGCACAGATGTTAGCTTGGGGCTAATCTTCCTCAATCAAAAAAACGAGGAAGATTGGCAACAGACGTTGGCTCAGGGCTAATCTTCCTCAGCCAAAAAAAAAAGAAAAAATGTGTCAAATGTATAAAATTGCACATCGCGGGATTGGTCATAATAGCAAATATTTGGAAATGGTCTAAATAATTGTTAAAAAGGAGAAATATGTTTAAATAAATTATGGTACATATGCAGTGGAATATCACATAGCTATTAATGTTTTAAAAGAATATTTAATGTTATGAAGAGATGCTTATGGCATAATAGGAAATACAGAACACATTATAGTGATTTCAATCTTTTTAAATGTTTACAAACAGAAAAAGATGGAAAGTGCATTACTGTAGTCAACCATTGCCAGTTAATAAGATCGTGGATAACGTTTATGTTCTTCAATATATTTTTATATATTTCCAAAACTCTTTATAATAAACGTAAATTATTTTAATCATTAGTGACAGATTATCAAAGTGTATCATAATTTGAAACAAATTGACAGCCTAAAAGTTAATATCCCTAATGTATTTTTATTGCTCATTTATAATCAGCGATCAAAATACTAATAGAAAAATAACTCATAGAAAAAAAAATACCAAGAAACATATAATAGGAAATTTCAACTTAAATAGTAATCAAATAAATGAAATTAAAATCAGATAATTCTTTTTTCTTATCAAATTAGTATTTAATTTTTTGCTAACTGAGGCTCTCATACATTGCTGAAAGGAATGTAAAGTGGTTCAACTTTTCTGAAAAGGACAAACTGGCAATATGTATCAAGAACTTTAAAAATGTTCAAAATGTTTGAGTCAGCAATCCTATATTAAGATCTCTAGTGTAGGGCCCGGCCTGGTGGCGCAAGCGGTTACGTGCACACACTCCACTGTGGCGGCCCGGGGTTCGCCGGTTCGGATCCTGGGCACGCACTGATGCTCTGCTTGTCAAGCCATGCTGTGGCAGCGTCCCATATAAAGTGGAGGAAGATGGGCATGGATGTTAGCCCAGGGCCAGTCTTCCTCAGCAAAAAGAAGAGGATTGGCAGATGTTAGCTCAGGGCCGATCTTCCTCACAAAAAAAAAAAAAAAGATCCCTAGTGTAAAGAAATAATGTCCCCAAAGACTGTGATAGTGTTTTATATAAGTGGATACTTCCCACAGCACCATGTATAATAGAGAGAAAATAGAAATAACCTAAACATTTAACTATAGGGAAATAGTTAACGTTACATCTATACATTGGAACATTATGTTGCCATCAAATACAGTATTTGAAGAATTTTTATTAAAGTGTAGCAGAAAATGGTCACAAAATATTGTTAAATACAAGATGAAGTATGTAAAAAATGAAAGATATAGAGTATTATACCAGTTACATAAAAAAGACATGTTGTATACATTGGGAAAATGCTGGAAGAAAATACGCCAGATATTAGCAGTGATTTATTTTTTGTGGTAGGATCCGAGAGGTTTGGAGGGTGTTGTAGAATTTTTCCTATTTTCCACATATTCTATAGTGGACAAATATTTTTATAGTCAGAAAAAATATCACTGAGATGCATCATATGAGTGTAAGTTCAGGATGAGGTTGGCAATGTATAACAGGAGAAGCTAATAGAGGAATTTGCAGCCTTTCTTAAAATATTTCTTCCTCAGAAACATGATACGCATCATTTTTCAAATAAAAATGTGCTTGCTTGATATGGTATTTAGCAGAGTTGTGTGATCATTTCACAATGTATTCATATATCAAAACATCAAGTTGTACACCGTAAATATATATAATTTTTATATGTTAACAAATATGCAATTGTATATAATTAAAACATGCACAATTTTTTATATGTTAAAACAAAAACTTTTAGCCATTTTTCTCAAAAATGTGAATGTAAGTTCTGTTAGATATTTGAGTTGAGACAGCAGACTGGAAAGTGTTTCGAAAAGCACCTCTGTCCCTAGGTGAAATGCACTTGACTGAGGAGCGCAGAGTCACATCATGGGCTCAGCAGTGCATTTTCATCTAAGTCAAGGATACCCTCAAGGTGCGCCTGCACCCAGAGCCACGGCCTCCCCAATAGTTACTACATGGCAACTGCTCTTTGGTTTTACTATTAATACTGAATAAAGCAGTACAGAATTGTTAGATTTTCTAAGTATGTCTAGAGTATACAATGAAATGATAGCGATTTTTTAAAATATGGCCATGGCTAAAATACTCTCCCTTCTCAATTCATTTATGTGTCTACCCACTTTATTAAACACATCTGTAAGACACTCTGCTGTGCACTGCAAGGCATGCAAACATATAATACACTACCTTGGTCAGCAAGGATCTTCTCATTGTTTACCTCAGTGTTAAAAACAAAAATTGCAGGGTGACAATGTAATTCACCAGTTCTTTCTAAATGCTGTATTTCTCTTTTCCCATGTGACAACATACTTGAGTTTTGTGCCTTTTTAAGGATGGCTGACTTCAATGGACGGACTTCTTGCACACTAGCTTTGTAAAGGTTAATTAAGTTTGGCTAGATAAATGCAGTCTCGTCATTTAAATGCAGCTGTGTGAGGAATAACAAATTGAAGTTACTTTGCTTCGACTGAATTATAGAGCTTATTGAGAAGAATGAACGTAGCTGTGCTATCTGAAGTTGTTAGAAGACAGCTTAATTTGAGTTTGGCAGAAATACAGGACTGTCACAGGGCTTCAAACATCTGCTATCACATGTTTGAAGCACAAATATTTCCTTCCAGGAAACAAGTGACAGAAATTTTATTCTCACGCAGCATTTGTAGGTGCTCTCACTTCCTATAATAAAAGAATCTTTCTGAAACAATCCAACGGGAGAACATTATAAATAATCTGAATTAAAATGGTTTGCAATTTTGGAGCTACACTATAATCAGTAATCTACACTAGAATAAGAAGACTGTGTTTATCAAATTTAATTTTTTTTAATAATTTTATTTATTTATTTTTTCCCCCAAAGCCCCAGTAGATAGTTGTATGTCATAGCTGCACATCCTTCCAGTTGCTGTATGTGGGACGCGGCCTCAGCATGGCCGGAGAAGCGGCGCGTCGGTGTGCGCCCGGGATCCGAACCCCGGGCCGCCAGCAGCGGAGCCTGCGCACTTAACTGCTAAGCCATGGGCCCGGCCCTATCAAATTTAATTTAAATCAAAATATAGATGTTCCCATTGTTTGATATGAGAGCCATATAGACTGAAGGAGCAATCTGATAATTCTCTCAGGAACGTTATGCAGTGTTTTTCTTCCTAACACACAGATGAGGTAAATGTTATTTGTCACTACTAGTTTCTCCTGTAAGTGGAAGAAAGGGATAGAATAATAAGTAGGAGTCTAAAATAAATAAAATCAATTCCACATTGCTTAGTGATAATGTCTTTATGATGGTGAGATTGGAAGTAGCCCTTTCAGATTTCGTCAGACACACTTTGACATGTAATAATTATAAAGTGAGCCACATATTTGCAGAGAGTAAGTGTGATATTTTCCCCTTTTTTTTTTTTTTTTAAAGATTTTATTTATT